TCACAGTGAAACTGACTGTTTCACCGTCAGGCAGAGAGAGACTGAGTCAATGGGGAAGAAATCTAACTGTTTCCAACCACAGTATCTGGAGCAGCAGCTACCTGAGCCGACGGAAGGAACCACATCAGCCTGATGATCCTCGTTCACGCTCACAATGCGACCACGTGACGCTCATAAATGGTCACATATGAGAACCACAGACTGTATAAAAGATGGACGGAGCAACCGGAAAAATGAAGCCAACCCGGAAGTGTCAAAAACCTACAGCATCACTACGTCCGCTGGCTGCTGGCTCCACAAAGCCCTGGCTCCCATAGACTGGAACTGGAAAAGAAGTGATCACAGATCACCAAATACTGCATTCCTACAGTTCAGGATGTTTTTCTTATTAGTTTTCATAGTAACATCCAGAGATCAGGTGGCCAATCTGAAAATAAATCAATACTGAATTTTTTTTTTTTGTAAATCGTCAACATTTTGCGGGCCAAGGGGCGTGGCTGGCTTGATTGACAGTCGGCAGCGACGATGCAGACGAAGTGAGCAGAAGGCGGTAAATGTGGGCGGGGCAGAGAGGGCCCGCCTCTCAATCCGTCTGACCAATCGCTGCTCCTATGGCTCCGCCCCCCTCTGACGATTTTTGCGTCACTGGCTCCAAAAATCNGGGTGTCCTCACCGGGACACGAACCGGCGACCTTCTCTGCTACATATGATTAGCAAATGTAATCCATCTACACAGTGCGAGTCATGGGAACTCAGCAGTTACTTGAACTGGGGACTTGAAGTTTGGCCAAAGGGAACATTTCACTGAACAGAAGGACATGTAAGTAGGCCAGTTATTGGCCAGACAGACTGCTCTGGATCAAAGAGTTCAATGACAGGCAGAGAAGGTGAATGACAAATAACAACATCTACTGCCCCCACCACTAGGGGGCACAAACAAAGCAAGAGGAGAAAGAGGGGCAATCAGTGTCTGAAAGTCTGATTTTCAAGAACATTGCAGGTCCTCTGTTTCTACACCTACAATCTAGACACAAATATAAACGCTCCATAAGAAAACAGTGGAGATCTTTAGGATGTGTTGTTAAACTGGCTCATCGTTGTTCCTCTCACCTCGCTGCATGCGTTGTGAGTCACTGTGTTACCTCAGCTCAGGCCTTGACGAGCTCTTTGCCGGAGCTAGAAGCAGGAGATGTCTCCGGTGTATCACGGTATGTTCGCATCTGCTGCAGTCATTAACACACCAGCTCACTTCCTGTCTGGGATTCAGGTCAGCGGTCTGGACGGGAGCTGCACGGGAATACATGTGGCAAAGCACAACACAGGAAAACGATCAGGTTTCCCTCCGTCTCCAAGGGATTGTTCTAATTGTTCTGTGGGGATAAACGCCTGATGGAATCCCTGCCAGCATGTCAGTACGAACACACAGTCCTGACCTATATACGGGTATACAGTCATGTGTTATTGGGTTTAGATTGATGGGAAATATGCCAAATGTTCCATATTTAATATTAAATTTACAATGCAATAAAGTGAAAAGGGTTCTAATACTTTCTGAAGCAACTGTATGTTGACAGATATGCAAAAGGGAAAATGGTTTTATGAGGATATTGGGAGTTTTTTTAAAAAAGTATTTCCATTGTCTGAATTTGTTGTGGCAATTAACTTTTACGTTTTACTGCTGCTTTTATCTTTGGAAAAGGAATTTCAACCGCAAACTATTTGGCCTCAGTAAATATTTTCATATTCCAAAACTGCTTTTACACAACAGCAACAGATTCACTCATAAACTGTCAAATCTCCTCCAGTTATGGACAACGCAACACATTTGTGACTTGAGTACCTAAAACAAAAAAGAAAAAGCCTGCATAATATCAGAAAACAAACTGAATGTCCAACAAGCAATGAGTGAGGACTGATGGAAAACATTTTAGTCAAGGGAGGGAATTTGTGAGTTTAATTTTATTGTTGTTTTTTTTAATCACTTGTATATTTTGTCCTTAAACTTAGCAGGGCTCCAGACTAACGTATCCAGTGGTGGCACTGGTGCTGCCAGCTTTCTGTGTTGGTCGCACCAGCTAATGATCTGGTCGCCCCCTTGTTTTGGTTCAGCACTGCCACAGCTGTTAATCCACCGTGCAGCTGATGAACAGCTGTTTTTCTATAACTTAGTTACATTGCAGTGATTTTCAGTGACACAGTGTAAAATGTTTTAACCTGAAAATATATTTATTCTGTCACCAGTCCTCTTCTGATATCAGTCATTAGCTGGACACATGCTAATCACTTGCCGAACATGTGTATGAGTTGATG